AATGCTATCAATCAACTAGTAAAACTATGTTTCTTTGTTAATTAAGATTATCAAAAAAAAAATAACCTAATATTGCTTTTTTTAACCGATTGACTTCTACAACATGTTCTTCTTTCTCATGCCAATTCACATTAGCTTCATCATAAATAGTCATTTTTGATGCAGTATAACCTTCATCCGAAAGATATTGAATTATCATTCGAATTATTTCCTATGTACATTTAAATAATTTTTATAAGAAAACAGGTATAAGTATGAAATCATAAATAATCATATTTACTTCACGAATCTTTCTATCTTCAGGATTGAACACATCTTCAGTTGGCCTTGTACATCTTGAGTGAGATCCTATATAACTTTGGGCTGTGGCAAGAGCTTCGAGGCTTTTTTTTTTTTTTTTTTTTTTTTACATATTATAACTTCTAAGATAATATTCAATGAAATTTCATATTATTGGTTAATCATGTTCACCTTTTACGCCTGTTAGTTCGTTCCGAGCTACTCTTTTCTATTGAAACTTGTGTCCCAAGGTCTGTTGATTCATGAATGCTGGTTTGTGTTGGCTTTTACAAAACAAACAAACGCCGTAAAGCAAAGGTAATTATTAAAATTGACTCCTAAAATTCCTTTAGAGTTCTGCTCTTTAATAATGTATAATTGAACATACAGACATCTCGGAGTTGGTGGTCTCTCTCATGTCACTGTTCGTGTCTGACATCTTTTTTGCGATGTGTTTTAATAGAAGCAACCTGATTTAGAATTGGAATGTGCTCACGTGGTAGTACAGTCAAACATCTATACTAAAGAAATTCATTGATGTTGATATTTCGATATTGGTCATTATTAAATTACGTACGTACAGTACGTACATATACTGTATGTACGCACACACGCACGCAAGATACTACAGTACAATTATAGAATTAACAAGATATAACAATAAGAACGATAGGATTTGTCAAAAATTTATTATATGAGTGATGCAATATGTGGACAAAACCGCTTGTATTGAAACTGCCATCTTTAAAATACACCGATTGGAACTAAGGAATTAAAAAAATTAGTAGTACCCGTTAATATAAATCAAATAGTGCCAGGCCACACGGTGCTAAGGTGGCACAGAAGACGATATTAAATAGGGGAAGAAAAATACTAATCTATAAATACGATACAAGTTAAAGTTTCCACCGAAACGCCCATCAAGGTAAAACCATCTTTTAATAAGGGCAAACATGGATTATCCCATCTTTTAGTAAGGGCAAACTCACTTCTTAGGGAAAACCTTACCGATAAAATGGGGTGCAATAAATAATGCATATATATATATATATTAAAAATACAAACAGTATGCCCTAGGTCACACTCATGCAAAGTTCTATATTCAAACGCAACCACATTCCCTCCCCCTCGCATGGCCGTATGCATTTCTCCCATACGAATAATATAAATTGTTAATATATTCAATTTATAGATATAATGCCATGTGTTTAAAAAAAGCATTAACGATAATAAACTTGGTTAAAAAGAAAGTGAAAAGTAGCAAAAATTTTTTCGCGTTTTTATAAATTTTAGGTTACACTTGATCGAACAATTTTATTGGTCATTACACGCGTATGGAATGAAATTAATATCATAAACAATCCGTTATTCGCTACACGTAGATTATTAATATTCTAGGTGATTAAGGCTGTTTCTAAACAGCCTCTCGAGATGATTTGCTAGTTATTGGGATTTTGTTTAACTTTTAAACTAACTACAATTTTTGTATGTAACTAATATATATAAAAAAGTAAATACCAAAATCTTATCTTTTAAATGGTTTGCAAGCAAATTTGCCTGCAAATTTCATGATTGATTCGTAGAAATTAAATTGACCGTTTAAGAGATAATTTATTAAAAATTTATTAAAAATCTTTATTTAAAAGTGATTTTATAAATAAATTTATTTAGTATTCACTGAAGGTGAAATTCACCACAAAATGTTTTTAATTATTATTATATGATCTATAGAAAATTTTATCACAAATGTTCAAATTAAGATTAAACTTTAGGGCTGGGGTTTAAGGCTTAAATTAAAGTAGAGGTTAGGCTTTTTAGGGTGCTGAACATTTTTATTTAGTATACCAAATACCGATTATCAAAACCGTTTTTGAGAAACAATATGCTCTAAATTTACGAAATCTTGCAACATCTTTAAAAAAAAATCAATGCCCGAATCCGCCCAATAATGACGTTC